ATAAGCTTGGAGAGCTAAAATTAAATATGTTCATTTAGTTGGAGTTGGGAATCCAAATCAACTTAGAATTTGCTTATTTTACAATACAGGGCAAATTAACTTGTAATTTTGTTTTTTTTATTTAATTACAAACAAAGGAAAACCCTAAAAGCTAAATATGTATTTTAAAATTGTGAAGTTCAGAAAGAGGCAACAAATTATTTTTGTCAAGGTGAGAATATTTTTTTATTAAAGTACTTTTTTACATCTTTTGATCTTATAACAAATTCACCAATTTTTTTACGATTATCCTTAGATTTATCAAACTATGTTTCTAATGTCTTTCTTTATCATGTTTTTTATTTTGTTTTTTATTCCCAATTTTGATATTTTTGATCCGTAATCCTAAATTTTGAATTTTTATTACTTTTTCCTTTGAAATTATATCATTTGGTATTCAGAACAAGGTTGTGTATACCTTTCATTGATTTTGTTCAACATCACTATTTATGACATTGTTCACAATATTATTTATTTTATTATTTCAATATTGTTCACGTACTCTTCTATCACTATTCACGTATTGTTCCACTATTGTTCATATTTACTATTTTGTTATTTCCACATATTGATTTCAAATGTTTTCTCAAGTTGTGTGTTTCAAAAGATAGATCAAATCTGTATTTATAAAGTAAAACAGAGAACCAGAACGTTTCATTAATTAAAAACTGAATCAGAGAGGCAAATGATCAATCAGATTTAAAGTATAACAGGTTAGAATCGATTCTGATCGATTAGAACCGTGTTATGATCGATTAGACCAAGTTATGATTGATTAGAATAAAACTATGATCGATCAGAATGCATTTCAATCGATTAAAACGACGATTCAATCGATTGATTTCATTTAAAACTTCATTCAATCGATTGATTCGAGTTTTCAATGGATTGAAACACCTTTATGAAAAATGATAGCTCTCTGTTTCAATCGATTGAAAATCATTTCAACAGATTGAAATCCTGCAAACACTTAGACTGGAAAATAGTCTCTCTGTTTCAACAGATTGAAAAATATTTCAACAGATTGATTTTATAAAAACTCTTAGACTGAAAAAAAATAGTCTCTCTGTTTCAACAGATTGAAAAATATTTCAACAGATTGATTTTCTGAAAACTCTTAGACTGAAAAAAATAGTCTCTCTGTTTCAACAGATTGAAAAATATTTCAACAGATTGAAAATGCGAAACCTTGATATTGAAAAATTCATTAAGTCATTTTAACCTGTTGATTCTGCGATTCAACCAATTGAAATTTCGACTATGTATGACCACTTTTTATGTTAAGTGATTTTAACAGATTGAAAATCATTTTTAACAGATTGAAAAACTTAGTTTGTTCTTTTAATACTTAAATGTAAGTTTTTCATGCAGAAAAATGATTTTCAATGAGATGCAACATTTTAAGATGCTTATCACAAAATATATTGGCCTATCAAGAGATTAAGTTCTATACTTAGCCTATTCATCTACACACCCACAAACTAAACTATATCTACAAAATATTATGTCTTCATCAAATCCACCAAGTGCTTCAACACCGCCTATCCAAATCGTTGATCGAAAGATTAAGCAACTCCGTGGAAAAGAAATTGCTTTGGTTAAAGTTATTTGGAGTGGAGTAGGAGATGGAGATGCTACTTGGGAGTTAGAGGAAAAGATGAAGGAACCTTACCCTCAATTGTTCCTTTCAGATACGCAAATTTCAAGGACAAAATTTATTTAAGGGGGGGAGAGTCGTAACATCCTAATTCTCAGTACCTTTGGTTTGTTAAATTTTGACAAAATCTTTGTCAAAATTTTAATAATTAAATTATTAGGAATTGGGTAAAGTAACTATAGAGTTTTATGTTTGATAGATTATTTGTGATTTTCTGGAAATTTTTTGAAATTTTTAGAAAAATACTCAAAATTGACGTATTTTGCGAATATTCTAACAAAAATTTCAAACTGCAATTGATTATATAGTAAACAAAGTTGAAAAATTTTAAAAATTTTACAAGAGTTTAATAGTGCTAACTAGATCTCGAAAAGTAAATTTTTACAATGAAATTTGATAAATTTCAACATTTTATTTTACAACATGTTTAAGTAACTAAAATAAATAAATAAACCGATCCGAGAGTAATTTGAGCGGATTAAAATTTTAGTAATCATCTCATTATTATTCTAGATATTCTACTCCCATGTCTTTTAAAATAGTGAAATGTGGAAAAAGGAACACATTTCTCCTCCCGTAGACTCACTTCTCTCTTTCTCTCAAAACTCTCCTCACTTTTAAGCTTGATTTTGAGGGGGAAATCTTGATTTTCTTGAGGAGCTCCAAGAGGTAAGTTTGTTTCTCTCAATCTCCTCTACACTTCTACGGTTTTATTGTAAACTGAAAACTGCATTTATTCTATAGGGTATTTGAATTTATTTCCTTCATCAATATTGTAGATAATTAAGTTATTGAAATTTTGGCTCCAATCTCATACCAAAACAGCTTATATAACTCTAGAAAATTCTGAAATACTGAACCTTGTACATGTTTGTTATTAGGATTCTTCCTACTCTAAGTGTATACAAAATAGGATCATTTTGTAAGTTAATTGTAAGTTGAATGTGAGCTTAAAATATTATTAGAAATGGATTCACAACACAAAGTGAATTTAAATTCTCATGAGATAGAACCATAGAATATAAGATTCTAACTAGCATTTTGTTACGTATATAGATTTTGCTGGAAAATAACATCAAGCTTTGAAAGAAATAAGTGTGAACGTATCAGGTAAAGGGTGGGCTATATAGTAAGGATTACATCATAAACTTATTTAACCTTATTTGTTGAAGTTGTCTAAACTTGTTATGATTGATAATTTTGATTTCATTATATGTTTGGTTTTGAAAGTGATAATGAATTGCTTATGTGTATGATGGTGTAAATACATGTTTGGTACTCTATTAAGATATGAATTGTCTTTGAGTGAGCATTTATATGCATGGTAGTTTTTCATGGGAAATTTTATTGAAATTAAACTGAAAGGATTAGATGATGGGTTGTGAACTTTTTTTTTTAACTGTATTGAGAAGTTTTCTGATTGTAACAGGTATTTGGAAATTTTTGGGAAACATGTATCACAGGGGAAACTCTGTCAAAATTTTTGGGAATATGTGACTTTTTAAGAAAAAACACTTAGGAACTCATACATTAAACATTTGAAAATGGTGATTTGTGCAAACTGGGGAATCGGAAACTATGGACTCTGAGATTTCGATAGGGAGGCCCTGAGGGAGGACTTGGGATAGGAAGTGTAGTGGTTGGAAGCCCCAAAAGACTCAGGCTCGCTACCTGTTGTTGGGGATCCCACTGTACAAACTCTCATGTACCTGATTGTGCTCTTATCGTGTATATCAATGGTCAGTGAGCTACTGGGTTTATATTTGAGCATGGGTCTCAACAATCCCGTGGGTGGATTTTCCATGCCTAGTAGTGTCAACTCCAGGCTACCCTAGCACTGATTTGAGAAATGATTCGGGCCCGCATGAATAAACATTTTAGAATACATATTAGGATCATGCATCATTAGCATCAATCATTTGGAATTTGATTGACTTGTGAATGTTTATAATGTTTGCTCTTAAGATGATGTATAAATTGTTGCTTACCCTATTGTCTTTTTGTTTTCTTTATTTTTTCTATACTTGTGGTACTTGTTGGACCTGATCGGTCATTGTTTAAAGGGAGGGGAGATGACACAGATTCCACACCCGATGTATATGACACTCAAGCTCATTAGTTCGGAGCCACACTGATGGAAACATGATTGGGATAGACATATCCAAACATTTATAGGCAGTCTTTTGTGGTACATAGACCTATACGGTACTGGGTAGTAGTCACTCTTTTGTTTAGTTGTGCTACTCTGTAGGAAGTTATCCCCAATGTTGCCCTCAATATTTTGAAGGACTATAACTATTATTTTATCTATATATAATTATGAATATTTACTTTTAGTACTTTCTGAAATGATGATATCCAGGAATGGGTTACTGAAAATTTACATGTTAAATTTATTTTTACGATTAGTGCATTGGTTTAATATATTAATATTATGTATGGGTAAAGATTATTATTGGTTTTATAAATCGGTTAAAAAAAATTTCCCGCTAAAAAAATGATTAATTCTTCTGATCGAGGGTTTATAAGGTAAGGTGTTACATGTTGGACCAAATGGAACAAACATAATAAGAAAAACATAAAAATAGAGGAAGAGATAGGAAGAGAAAAAGACAGAATTAGGGAGAACAAAGACAACCTATATTTGATGCAATCAAGTTAAATATCTCAATATTCAAAGTGAAGAGTGGTCTAGAAGCTAACTTAGAGTGTGAGATAAAATTAGAATATGTGTTTGCTTGCAATGAGTATAATATTAAGGAACAAAAGATGAAATTGACAACAACTACATTTTCATATTATGCCTTAATTTGGTAGAATAAGTACCAAAGGTAGAGAGTTAGAAATGAAGAACCCATGGTGAGCTCTTGGACTGAAATAAAAAGAATTATGAGGAAGAGATATACTCTAACAAGCTATGATAGAATTTGCAACTCAAACTTCAAAAAATGATTCAAGGGAATAGAATTGTGAAGGAGTATTTTAAGAAAATGGAGGTTACCACGATTAGAGTCAAAATTAATAAAGAGAATGAAAAACCATGACTAGATTTTTGAGTGGGTTGAACCATGATATTAGGGATGTTGCGGAGTTGTAAGAGTATGTTGAAATGGAGGATTTGTTACACAAGCTTGTCTAAGTAGAACAACAACGCAAGAGAAAGAGAACTACGAGAAGAAGTTTTAACAACAACAACTACAATAACAACAACAACAACAACAACAACAATAATAATAATAATAATAATAATAATAATAATAATAATAATAATAATAATAATTTGAAAGATAAGGTCTGTGAGGGATTAAAGAGTTTCCTCAAGTTCAATCATGTCTTCACATGGGAAGTCACCTAATAAGTCAAATATTTCACCACATTAGTGCAATTTCCTCCATTAACTATGAGTGAACTTATTTTCCCTTGAATAAATCATCTAGTATAGAAAATATTCTCTCTCTGAGTTTTATCCAAAGCTTGCATTTTGCTTCCCATAAGCCACCTAATCATTAATAAATAACCCTCTAATTCATCCAACTCCACCTCTGTGTTTTCCTTTCTTTTTTCACTTGAAAGTTCACTATCTATTTTTTATTTGGTAATATGACCATATTCCTTTTCATTGAGCATTATGAAGCATAGTGTTCTTTTCCCAAACTAGCTCAAGACTAGTTACAAAATTTAGACACAAAACCCGACATTAGGCCATACAAACTTTAATAGCTTAACAAAGATAAAGAGATGACAATGAGCAACCAAGTGAAGGTGAACCTATCCATAGGACTATATAATTATAAGGTCTTGCGTGATGTGATTCCAATGAAGGCAACTAACATTCTTTTAGGGAGGTCGTGGCAATATTATACCAAAGTTATCCATGATTGTTTTGCTAACAAAATCTCTTTTTAGTATCAGAATAATAAAGTGGTTCTCAATCCTTTGAATTTTACATAGGTATGTTAGGATCAAATCAAAATGAAATCAAAGATAGAAATTGAGAAAATATTAAAATATTCTAGAGGAAAAATAATGAAAAGAACAAGAGTGAAACACTTGAGGGAAAAGACCTTTGTTTAGCGATAAAAATGGAGGTAAGGAGGGTGTTTTGTACAAGTATTAGGGTGCAATAGCCACTCGGAGTACAGCTAGCATATCGTACTCGAAGCTGGTAAAAGGTAATACCGTGAGATGGGCATAGGTCGACTCACAAATATAAAAAGACTTCAAAAACTACTCGATAGATGAGGTAGAAGTAAAATTGGAAGTATAATAGTGTACTTCATTAAGTACCCAATAATATTTAGGGTTGGGAATAGGAGGAAACTTATCTTTCCATCTAGGCTTAACAATCCCACTTATACCTCCTAGTACCGTCCTCTTTGACCTATTTGTTTTCCACTTCCAGGACGCCAGAACAACTATCGAAGTAGCAATAACCATTTTCTCTGAAGATGCATTTTCAAAATCCTCAATATCAGTGGAAATACCATAGATAGATTGCACCGCATGAGAAGTGAGACAACACCCACAATCAAAAGAACCCATCGAAGAATAGGCAGATGCAGATATGGCTTAAAAGAAGAAGAAAGAACAACGTAGTACTTGTAAGATTCAAGCAGTGCCCAAGATTATAGAGGAGATCGCAAAGGACAAGAATGAAAGAGTTTTCTAAAATCAGAAGGAGAAGTATGAGGACGAACAAGGTGAATGAGTAATATAGAAGCGTGAAAACCAAATGAAAATGTTTCGTATTCAAAGGAAAACCTAATGATTACAAGATTTTTCCCTAATTAATACATTGATAGATTGACAAATTTGACTGACAAAAAGCGATATGTCGAGAACCTAATAACAAAAAGGCAAAACAATGAGACTATAAACTCATTCGTTTCTAGTAATAATGCACTTGCATAAAGATACTTCAAGCTTGGGAGCTTATGTTGTAATATCTCAAAAAAAAATTAAAATGAAAGATAAGGTTAACTTATCTTAATGATCAAGACTTATCCAAGTCATTAATGCATTTAATGACTTCATTAAGTAAAAATAAAAATAAAATAAAAAAATAATAATATGGCTATAAATGGGAGGGGAGGGATTATATAGGAGGAAAGAAAAAAAATTGAAGGAGAAGAAAGGGAAAGAGAGGAGAGAGAAGGAAAGAAAGAAAGAAGAAAAGGGAGAGGAAAGAGAGAGAGGGAGAGAAAGAGAGAGAAAGAAAGAAAAAAACAAGAACGGAGAAGAAGAAAATGAGAGAAATATAAGTAACCTCTGCAAAATTTTGATACATCATTTGCAGTTCTTAAGGTAGGGGATGAGAATATTATCATTAAATCTATTTTGCTTATAGTTGTGGAGTGAGGCGTCCTTAACCTCATTCTATTTATTTAGTTATTTGTTTATTTATCTTTAACTACGTAATGGTCCTGTTTGTTTATTTTATCTTCAGTCTTACACTGGTCTTATTTTAACTATCTCCAGTTATGTACTGGTCCTGTTTGTTTATTTTATTTTATCTCCAGTCTTGCACTGGTCCTATTTTAATTATCTCCAATTATGTACTCGGTCCTGTTTGTTTACTTTATTTTATCTCTAGTAATGCAAGTGATCCTATTTATTCATTTATAATTATATTATTCAATTATAATAATACCTATTTGTGAAGATTTGATGATATTGTAGATGGAGGTTGGACCTTGGGGATTTAAATGATTAAATATCACTCTGTGAGAGTGATTAAAATTTGGCTCATTTATCCCGACTAGTCACTACAAATTTAATTTAAATCTTTATAAAATAGAATATCGCTGAGGAAGTTGAAACATATATATCTATATATTATAAGATTGTATTATTGTAAATGATAAATATTCTCACTCCCTATTGTGATCTTTTGTGGATGTTTTATTTAAACACCAACTTAAGTAGATGGAGGTGCCAAATATTCCAAATCCCTTTTCTGCAAGCATCACTGCCTTCTTTCCAAGAACTACTTGGAACACGAATATTATAGACAATTCGGTTACTTTTAGAGGGACAGGATTATCAACAATAACATTTATATCTGATATGGGAAATCTCATTATGTTAGATGGATCAGTAGTGGTTACCTTTTGTATGCCTCCTACCTTTTTTCAAAACCCCTTAATCAGTTTATTTCCACCTAAGCAATGTAGATATTTGTAAAATTGTAGAAAAAAATAAAAGGAATAAAAAATAAATTTTCTTCTTCTTTTGTATATCTTATATATAGTGATGTAAATTACTTTTACATATATGTAATTTTTTTTTTACCTGCTACTCTTATACAAATAATAATAATAAGAAGAAAAAAAATGTCACATTAGATGGTATCAGAGCAACATTTCATGTGTGACCTGTAAAATAAGTTTATCATGATATCTTATGAATCCTAACTTATATAATTCCAGATGACAAATAATAGAAGGAACAAAGAGTTGACAGAAGCGGTACAAGCTATCTGAGACATGACTGCTGCATTATTAAGGAACCAAAGACTTGAAGGAACCAATGGATCACAAGGTTTAGTTGAATTTAGGAGAAACAAACCTTCGCAATTTTCTGAAGGTTATAACCCAGAAAAGGCTGAATTATGGATTAAAGAATTGGAAAAAATATTTCAAGTTATGAATTGTCCTGATGACCAAAAGGTAAATTATGTTGTGTTTATGTTGATAGGAGAGGCTGAATATTGGTGGGATAGTACTAGGAGATTACTAGAAGGAGGAAGAATAATCATTACTTGGGAGGTGTTTAGAACAAAATTTTTAGAAAAATATTTTCCCAATGATGTGAGGAGGGCAAAAGAAATAGAATTTATGCAATTAAAGCAAGGAAGTATGACAGTAGGAGAATATGCCTCTAAGTTTAAAGAGCTAGGAAAATACTCTGCATTATTTTATCACCCTGATGAAAGAATAAAGTGTATAAAATTTGATAATGGACTTAGGCCTGAATTGAGAAAAGTAGTAGGAATACTAGAAATTTCTGATTTTCCTATGCTTACTCATAAATGCAGATTTTTGGAAGATTTTGAAAACCATCAAAATAGTAAATCAAAATCTTTTGGACCCCAGCATAATAAAAGAAGACAAAATGAAGAAAAACCTTACAACCACCCCCAATAGAGATCCCAACCCAGCCAATTTTTCGTAGGAAATTTTAATAAACTTGTAAATAGTCAGCTCAAGTGCTTCAAGTGCGGACAAGATCATTATGCTAAAGATTGTCATCTTAAAAGACCTGTCTGTTTCAAGTGTGGAAAATCTAGTCATATATTCTCTGAATGTCGACAACAAAAACTAAATTTTGATCCTTCTACACTAAAAAGAAGGCCTCCGACAACAGGAAGAGTATATACCATGAATGGAGCTGAAGCTTCTCAGAATAATGATTTGATCCAAGGTATTTGTTTCATTAAAGATAAAACTTTAAATGTACTGTATGACTCAGGCGCAACTCATTCATTTATTTCCAATTATTGTGTCCAACACCTTGAATTGCCGACTTCTTTTCTAGATACTAATTTGATTGTTTCAACTCCCACAAGTAACTATGTAATCACCAATAAAATTTGTCTAGATTGTCCTTTGTTCGTTGAAAATAGAAAATTCCTTGTAAATTTAATTTGTCTATCTTTATCTCAATTGGATGTAATCCTGGGTATGGATTGGTTATCTTCCAATCAAGTCCTTCTAAATTGTGTAGAAAAATCAGTAATATTTTCAAATTTTGAAAATCTTTTGAGTTTCTCTACCAACTCAATAAATGAGTCTTTGAAGAACAAAATTCAAGGATATTTGTTACTATCTTCTGTGGAAGTAAAAGAGGAAGTCGATTTGAAAAAAAATAGCTATTGTTCAAAATTTTCCTGAAGTTTTTCCTGATGATATTCCTGGTTTACCACCCAACAGAGAGATTGAATTTTCAATAGATTTAATGTCTGAAACTGGACCAATTTCTATGGCACCATATAGGATGTCCCCTTCTGAACTGACAGAACCGAAGAAACAATTGGAAGAATTACTTGGGAAACAATTCATTCGTCCTAGTGTATCACCTTGGGGAGCCCCTGTTTTATTAGTTAAGAAGAAAGATGACAGCTTTAGGCTGTGCGTAGATTATCGTCAGTTAAATAAATTCACCATAAAGAATAAATACCCTCTTCCAAGAATAGATGATTTGTTAGATCAATTAAGAGGAGCTTCTGTATTTTCTAAAATAGATTTAAGATCAGGATATCACCAAATTAGAGTAAAGGCAGAAGATGTACAAAAAACTGCATTTGGAACTAGGTATGGTCATTATGAATATCAAGTGATGCCTTTTGGTGTGACCAATGCTCCTATAATATTCATGGATTATATGAATAGGATTTTTCGTCCATTTTTAGATCATTTTGTTGTGGTTTTTATAGATGACATTCTTATTTATTCTAAAACTTTTGAAGATCATGCAGACCACCTTCAAGTTGTTCTTCAAATTTTGAAATACAAACAATTGTATGCTAAATTGTCTAAGTGTGAATTTTGGTTAAAAGAAGTGAAATTTTTAGGTCATGTGATTTCCAAATAGGGAAGTGTCAGTAGACCCAACTAAGGTGGAAGCAATTCTACAATGGGATCCACCAAAAACAGTGACTAAGATTCGTAGTTTCCTGGGTTTGGCTGGATATTATAGGAGATTCATTGAAGGATTTTCTAAAATGGCTATGTCTTTAACCCAACTCACCAAGAAAGGTCAAGCTTTTGAATGGACAGAAAAATGCAAAAATAGTTTTCAAGAACTTAAGAAAAGATTAACCACTTCCCCTGTACTAGCATTACCTAACCCAACTGGACATCTTGTGATATTTTGTGATGCTTCCAAAATGGGATTAGGATTTGTTCTCATGCAAGATAGAAGGGTAGTTGCATATGCTTCAAGACAATTAAGAACACATGAGAAAAATTATCCAACTCATGATCTAGAACTAGCCGCCATCATTTTTGCACTCAAAATATGGAGACATTATGTGTATGGTGGTAAGTTTGAGGTTTTTAGTGATCATAAAAGTCTTAAATACTTGTTTGATCAAAAAGAGTTAAATATGAGACAGAGAAGATGGATAGAATTTTTGAAAGATTATGATTTTGAATTACATTACCATCCAGGAAAGGCAAATGTAGTAGAAGATGCTTTAAGAAGGAAATCTTTACATGTATCTTCCCTTATAATTCATGATATGAGTCTACTAGAAGAGTTCAGAAACATAAATTTATCAATTGCCATGAACCCTGATAGAATAAAATTAAACTTAACTCAGATTACTAGTGGATTACAAAGACAAATTCAAGAGGCTCAAGTAGTTGATGAATTTATTCAAAAGAAAAAGAAGTTGATAGGACAAAAGAATGGAGAAAAATTTGGCATAGATAAAGCAGGAATTTTGAGATTTAGTGGCAGGATATGTGTGCCTAATAATGTAGAGATTAGGAAGTTGATTTTAGATGAAGCACATAAGAGTAAATTGAATATACATCCAG